TCAGTGCATTTCTTTCAGTTGGAGCGAGTTTATATGGTAGTCCTGAACCAAATGCAGGGGCCATATTCATTGGGCTTGTTCGTCCAATATGTGTGCTTTCTAACCTGTGAGGGAGGCATCCATTACCAGAATCATAGCCGTGGCGAGTGGGTCCAAGGGGACCCCTTTCTGAGGTTGTTAATTGCTGATCAACAGGACAAGGCATCCCTTGCTTGGTCTAGGAGTGTTACTCGCCTCTACAGTTCCTGTAAGTGAGCCCGGTGTTGCAACAAAGTGTGCTGTATCAGATGGTCGCGTAATTACCAGAACAGAGACTCATGCCAGGGGGTGTGGAGATTGCAGCGGGATCTTGTAACCCTGTATCACCACCTGGAGAGTCCAGGGATCAGGTACGCACTGCCTTTGAGCCAGAATACACCGGCTCAATCAGTGCAATAGAGATGAATGGGTTCGGCGGTTCTACATCAGGGGTGATCTCTTCTCCACCTAGGTGAGACCCTGCAAGGCCTGTAGAAGTCGATAGGTTCAGACTCTGCTTCCCGCTGAAAATATGCCCATCCCCCCTTGTCACAAGCGGAAGCATCAAACTTGCTTTCACTGTAGTCGATCCCTAAGGAAGAGGGGGGACCACAACCTGCTTCCTTTTACCTGGGGGCACGTGGCCACTCTTCCCTTCTTGGAAGAGCCAGGACGCTTGCCTCCTGGCTACTTCTGGCCAGTGGGTGCCAGCTTTGGTCATTATGTTTTTTTCAGCTTGGGGTTCTTTTCGCTTGCCCTTGGCTCACGGGTCTCACCTGTACCAACTGGTCAGTGGGATCACGTAGCACCGAGACTGCTCCTTCCATCCTCAAAAGAAAGAGGGTGGAGGAGGTTAAGCCTGCGTAACTGAGGTGGAGGTGTGCCCAGTGAAAACAACCAAAACCACATCCCACTGTACAGAAGCAGCCCCTGCTGCTGGAGCAAGATGATACTGCAAAATATCCCACATAGCCGTGTGGTGTCCCACCAATGCCTGTGTTTGCTGGTCTAGATGTAGAATTTAAAAAAGGTGTTTAAATGAAACTCGTGTAACTCCGTAGAAAAGCAAATACCAAACGAGTTGTCTGTTTAAATTTGAATAGTGTTTGAATGAAGCTCATGTAACTCCGTGAAAAGGCAAATTACAAATGAGGTGTTAGTTTAAATTTGAATGGGGTTTAAATGGAACTCACGTTACTCTGTGAAAGGGTGAATTGTCATGAATTTGTTTTTGCGTATATGTTGACCGACTTAATTAGTTGATTATTAGCTGAATTGCTGTGTTATGTCTGTCATCGTTCAGGCCTATTTGAAGTTTTGGACGGAACTTGGCTCAGTGATTTGGAACTAATTACCAGATAACCGTCGCCATTCTGACAGTTGGTATCCATAGTTATTAATGTAGTGAACGATTAATCAAAAGATATGATGTATTCAGTACTTAGTGTGATTGGCTTTATGATTGAAGGTTACGCCCTAGAGTCTTTTTTACTGCTTTGTAATTGGTTAGAGTTTTGAAAATGAGTAAAGAGAGTTTTGTGTTGGTATTGACGAGTACACCACGATAGACGCAGTCCTGGGCAGTCGAGTTCAGTCCTGGAGAGTCGAGAGCAGTCCTGGAGAGCCTTGGTGCGAGTGTTGATGCAGTCTAAGAGAGTCTTGGTTCAGCCTTGCAATAGTCTTGGGGACTTTTCCCCAGGGCGCTGTGTCTTATAATGTGCTCGATTGACCGACTAAGACGAGAGTTGAAACGTATTTCGTTGTGTGTGTCTTATTTGACTGTAAAGTTTAAGTGACTTTCCCGGTCCGGTACCTCAAGGGGACGCGATAGAGAGACGAGACGAGTTCCCCCCCCCCTGGCAAGTGTGGAGAACCCCGGAGAGAAGAATTTACCCCTGATAGAATACCAAATGAGCTCGGTCATCTCCCTGGAAAAAAATGAAATGATTGGTAAATTGTAACTATATTGCAGGAAGGAATACTCAAATATTTCATTAAGAAGCCCTACACAATTGTGCAATTTAAACGATATGCAAGATATACACGTTTGTATTTAATTTATTTTTGTATTTTTAGCTCAAGGTAACACGTATGTTGTGCTAATGCATGCGTTTCGTTTATTTATCTATTTTATATATGTTGCTGGTATCATAATTGTTAAAGCAGCAGCAAAGAATAACAAGCACGACAATGTTAGTTTTATTTTCGCCATTTTTTCTAGAAGAGAATTCGCAATGTGCATGCACATTCAGATTTACTCAAAGCTTGACAAGTATCAAGTATATAAGAAAAGCTTTTATTTGTGAACAATAAATATCCATGATTGGTAACGCTAAGTTAAGGTCTGTACTATGTCTGTTGAGATTATCATCATATAACCATCACGGATGAAACAGATCGGAAATTTTATATTCCGAAGAACCTGAGAATTGTTGTCTAGTATGCCCACAATATAATGACTCAAGAAAGAAATATATACCTGTACTTTACATTAAGACCATTCATGCCACAACATTATTCGTCTTATTGCAATGAATCAGCCTCGAACACTCCTGTAATTGTGATGTGACGCATGACTGGATTCAGTCTTTTATAGCGATTAATTTAAGAAGCGCAGTTTGCATTTTTGTCATCAGAATCAGGCATATTCACGCCTTAAAGGGGAAGTCAAGCCAAACAACACAATGACCCCCCAAGAAAAAGCTCCACAAATGTAGGAGAATGCAATTTACAGTTTTTTTATATCACTTTTCATTCTCTAGATATTCAACATTTCATCAGTATTATGTAGTCAGCCATCTTGATTCTCAAGCAAAGGATCATGGGTAAAGTATGACATCACAGAGTCTGTTGTCAGAAATTGAGAAAATGATTTCATCTATAACATGGGGAATACTGATGCGAATTAGTTCAAATTTTCGTTACGCATATAACTCTTGTATATGATTATAGTAATGTAAATTAGAATGTTACAAATACACATAAAGGGAAGATATTGCCAAAAACGTTAAAAAAGTAAAAATCGTTATTTTCGTTGTGAAATATAGAATGACACTTTTTGTCCACTTTTTATGGTCAACAAGTAATATATCACCTATATAACCTACTCACAACGGTAATTGTTTACAATATAAGGAAATT